TATGTATTACAATATAAAAAATGCAACTAATAAGAATCTTACCTTTTTCATCCAAATGGAGTTTCGATGCGCTGATTTCATCGGCTGATTGATCAGTATACCAGTCGCTTGATTCATCACCGTCGTTTACGTCGTCGATGAAATCATTCTCTTCCTCATCGTTTGCCCAATACTGATTTGAATTTTCATTCGTTGAAAAATCAGGTTTTTTCATAAATTCTGTGAGCGTTGATAATGCCTTACTAACATCGTCTGATGAAATCTGACGCTTCGGCGATGGTGGTACATCAATGTCAGTCATGTTGTATTTTTGTGGCTGCACGGTCCGTTTTCGTGTTTGTTGTTTCAAGTCAATCGAATGTTTGTCGTCGCTACTATAACTGGAGTAGCTGGTTCGACCAATATTACGTTGTTGTGTGGTGTGCAAACTTTGGCTATCTACAACATTTGTGAGTGTTGAAGTAGCTTTGATTGGTGACTGTGCCAAATACGATGCATGTTTTGCCATAAGATCAGCGTTTCGTTGTTGCAAGGCGCGACAATGTTGGAGTTGGTCAACATTTCTTGATGTTGGAGCAGCTCTGGTTGGTATGAAAGTTTGGTTTGAAGTCATTGGCGATCGTGTCAACTGTGACGCACTATTTCTCATGATATTGGCGTTTTGTTGTTGTTGTTGTTGCACTGTGGACGACTGTTGCTTTTGAACATTTTTTGTCGACGTATCAACATGACGCTGCCAATCATCATTGTCTACAAGACCTTTGATCTGTAGCGCTTCACCTGTGCTCATGAATTCAGCCAAAATTTCTTTATCCACAGTAACCTCACCGTTGTATATGAATTCAATCAATTTTTCGAGCACACCGTATGATACATCCTTCAGAAGTACTGATTTTTAGAATGAAATAAACAATGAAAATGTTGAAACGAATTTTAGAATTTCTAAACAGTAAACAGCTAAAGTTACTAAACACCTACCGAATGGATGATAATTGGCCGGCATTATTGTCAACATTTTTTGAAAGTATGGCGAACATACTGACATAACCAAACGATGTACTTGCATCGTGTGCCCTTCGACGGCTAATGTCATATCGACAAAATCACCTTGCCGCTGTGATTGATACAAACCACTTGAAATATTTTCGTTGAAATGTTTCCAACGTAAAGAATACTGTTCGTTTGCACCGTACTCCATGGTTGTTTTGTTTTGTTGTTTGTTTTGTACTTTTAATGTTCAAATATTTCTCTTCGGGAGTTTATAACAATTATAATTAATATTGCGTCTATACTCTATGAGTTAGCAACAAATAATAAAGACTCAATATTGACAGTTCTGTTGAAACAAAATTCGAATAAACTTCTATGGTGCCATCTATTGGATTTTTATTTTCTCACCGTGTTTTTTTGTTCACATCGGTTTACATATATTTTGTATAGGAAAATGAAACATTTTTTTTCAAAAAAATAAATCAAACATTTTTGTTTAAAAAATTGAATGTATTTTTCGAAAAAAAATTTAATCATCATTTTTTTCTCACTCAAATAATTTTTTTATGAAATTTGGTCCGAATTCCGATCACCGAAAAGGTACCGAACTCCGATCCGATCCGAGCCGAACCGGTCGGAGACCGGTCAGCGTCGGATTGAATAGCCTCGGCGTCGTTCGGCGCCGGAGTTGAAAAATCGCCTCCGTTGCGAACACTG